CCATTTTGGAGCGTGGTGGCGTTAGGAGATAGCTCAATCTCATGAAGATTGCCGAACGTAGTGTGGATGGACAAAGCTCTGCACATGTTGGCAGGTGGTGGCTTATCAGAATTTATTGAACTTCATCCATCCCAACTGAGCCACAATCAAAACCCGGAGATTAATGTTAGTAAGGGCCAATCCCAATTCATAAATAGCTGCGGCCGCCTTCTTAATTCTTTGCATGGTTCTGGGATTCCGACCATTTTGATACCGTGTTTTGAGCAAGTGACTCAACTGGTGCGAAGCGAATCTTTCCCGTAGCAAATGTTGCTGAACAAAGGAGCGGCTTCTTGGGCGCGGCTTTGGATTACTGCAACGCGAGTCTGTTGAGAACTCTTTGGCTCTTTCGAGTTTCATTTGCGGCGAAAGGCCCTTTTCAGGGTTTCGGGTTTCTTCATTTGCCTTCTTGGCCAGCGAAAGGAGGCTACATGACAGGCACTGCTGACTTCTGACAAGCGGGTCCTTGCATCGCAGTCAGCAAGAAGCACCACCTGTTGCAGCGGATTCACAAGCAACAAAACGCAGAACTGCCATTTTTTGTCCACCAGGACTTCGAACAACAAGGCTGGCAGCTCCTTGTCATGGCCAGTTGTCGTTGCACACTTTCCAACAGGGAAAGCAGGTCAAGAAGATCAAGTTGAATGTGGGGTCGGACCAATAGAGCACCAGAATGCATAGGAGGCTTGTGGGTTGGGATGCCTTTCTTTTGCAAATATTTTGTGCCCCCCGAATTCCTCACTCCCTGAGTTCCTGTGCTTGATACTTTTTGGGTTTGGTTGCCATCTCAGTGGCAAAAGAGTTGGGCTCGTTTGGGCCTTGGCCCACTCAGGAAGTGAGCAAAAAGCAAAGGCAAAAGGGCACTCCCTGGTGTTTTACTCACATAAGCGATGAGGGGAGCTCCGAAGCTTCCATGGTAACCTGTTTGGGCCCTCAGCTCACCGGCAGCTTCCGGACGAAAGAAATCGAACCTGGCAAGCGCTGGGGTTTGGCTAAGGGGTGTGAGGAGCGGCGCAAGTGGGGTTCCACTGCCCGGACCGAAGCATGGGAGTGGGTGAAAGGGAAGGAACCCTATAGATGATTTTGACTCACTTCTGGAATGCTCGGGTTGTTGGTTGCATTTGTCCTTGGTATACCAAGGAAAACCAAATTCTGACCAAAAGGTTGCCATAGGAAGGTGGTTCAGAAAGGAAATGCCTCACGCCCTTTCGTGACATGTCAAAGGGAAATTCTGCGGCACTGGGGTCCGACATTGGGACTCCTTATGTCATGTACAATCCTCACAGCAAAAGCCCATGTCGTGGGTGTCACAGAAAGAGGGCCATGTCTCTATGCTGAGAACTACCTGAAGCTTCAAACTACCCAGAAAAAAAGGGAATTCAATCTTGAGGGTCAGGTAGCACCCGAGAAAAGTCAGGAGTCCCAACCCAATCCCACGGACTCCAACAAGAACCCTCAAGAGACTGCAAGTGTCCACTTGGGGAAGTCAATGACTCGGAAGGTCAACCTCATGCAGTTCAACCGGAGATCGGATCCGTGATTTTTGATTTGAGGCTGCCGTTTAGAGCTTGGTTTAAAGGAAAACCAAAGGGAAACACCGATTTTAAAGAATCGAAACCCGGTCTAGCAAAGCTTAGTACGGTCGACCACTTAGTAGGTCTTAAGCACGACTCATTTTGGTGTTTCTCCAAGCGCCTCTTTTGTTTGCCTCAACCCCTACATCTTGAGTTCTATGTGGATCAACATCCTTAGTTTTCCGATGCGCTTAGTGCTAAGATGTGCTAGCACGCGCTGCCGCGCTATCCTGATAGTGAATCCTAGGTTCAGGGTTGAACATTGATCAAGTTGATGCCCCTCGCCACAATGCTCAGATGTTTCTCACTTAGCCTTCCCAAGCTCACCCATTACAGTCGCCGCAAGTCTTATGGGCGATCCCCTTCCGTATTCGAGCCCTGGTGTCACAACATGTGACCCATAGCAAGGACCTTGTTAGAAGGTGTCCCAAGGTGTCGCAGCATCAAGGAAGTGTCCAAAGATGCGTTTTGCCACAGCCTCGTGTTGAAAGGGAACTTGCCCCAAAAGAAACAGGCAGTGCAGCACGTAGCCCCAAGGACAGCGCGATTGCACGCCAGCCGGGATTCTCAGATCTATTGCCCTGGCCCTTGCAGTTGCTTAGCGTTGTGTCTGCAAATTATATGATTATTGCAAAGCCGGAAAAAGGGACGCCCAAGTGAGGGACGTTCATCATGAGCTCGCCATATGTGAGCAGAGACACATGGGCAGAAAAGATTAAGAAGTTTGGGCCAACGGCACGACAGGAAGGGATTCGGTTGCACGAAAACCTCTGGAGGCTTCTTGAAGAATCCTTCTTTGGGTGGCGCTCAGGACACTGTCTGGGGTCTCAAACAGTTTTCAATGTCAGAGTAGACAAAATATGAAGCCACATCAACAAATACACTTTTTTGGAGCACTCCAAATGTGGGGCCAAAGTTTGCCCAGACAATTTGGCTCACATATTGCAAGGGCCGCCTCCGAGGATGCAGGAGTACTTCGACAACGAAGTGGCCGACAAGGCACGGGTCTTTCCGAGTGTCGTCCAACAGTGCGGGAGAGTGCACAAGGCACTCGGTTGTTAATCTTCAATTTTGGTGGTGGTGCTGGTGCTGGTGCTGGTGCTGGTGCTGGTGCTGGTGCTGGTGCTGGTGCTGGTGCTGGTGCTGGTGCTGGTGCTGGTGCTGGTGCTGGTGCTGGTGCTGGGCTGGTGCTGGTGCTGGGCTGGTGCTGGTGCTGCTGGTGCTGGTGCTGGAGCTGGTGGGGTGGCGGTGGGTGGTGCTGACACCTTCCCCAACAACCACGCGCTCAAAAATTATCGCGCCCAAAGATTCTTTCCCTCCCCCCACCCCCCCACCCCCCCACCCCCCCCCACCCCCCCACCCCCCCACCCCCACCCCCACCCCCACCCCCCCACCCCCCCAATTTTATCCTCGCGAGCCGGCTCGTTTGTGGGAACTCGCGCGCGGGAAAAGTCGGCGAGGAGGCCAAGGAGCGGTTCAGCTGCCAGATCTGCCTCGAGGAGTGCCGCCTGGAAGATGGCGCCTGGGGCCCCGAAGCAGCAGACCTGTTCCCCCGCCCCCCCGCGGTTTTGGCCCCAAGACTCAGTCCCGTTCCGAGACTTCAGTCACCTTGTGGGGGTTAGACGGTTAGACCATTTTGTGGTGAAGAAGGTTTGGGTACCTTGTGTTGGCACCGCTTGATCGAAAGTGGGCCTACCAATTAACTTGGTTTCCTTGCGAGCCCTTTGAAAGGTTACGGCGTGATCCAAGCCATGAAACCGGAAGTCCACCAGCTTGCCCAGGTCTCGCTAGATTGCCGGGATCCTCAGATGGCTGTGGTTGTCAAAATCAATGGTACCATTTTGGGGTAGGTGCACCACCCATTTTAGAACCTATTTTAGTTGGGATTGGTATGTTCACTGGGGGTACGGGATTTTGACCCATGGCCAGATCAGCAAAAGTTGTTACCAAACTTTCCTCACTTTGAAAGAGACACCAAAAGGAGAATCGGATACAAGGTACTCAGACTTGTTGAAGTCGCTGCCGCTTCATGTTGGCATTTGCATGCCAGTGGGATTCCAACACGGGTGGAAGTTCCAGTGGGAGCCCGCTTCCCTGGGGAGAATCGGATACAAGGTACTCAGACTTGTTGAAGTCGCTGCCGCTTCATGTTGGCATTTGCATGCCAGTGGGATTCCAACACGGGTGGAAGTTCCAGTGGGAGCCCGCTTCCCTGGGATTCAGAAACTGAGTGGGATCTAGGTTCGATTGACGGGTGCATCGGTTATATCGTGTCCTCGTTTCCGATCAAAGATCGGGAGAAAGTAGCACCGTTGTCAGATTTTTATGTTCGGAATCAGCTTCGGCCACAGGTCAGCAAAGCGTGGCCGTTGTACAAGCTTTTTCAGAGCAAGGTGATCAAGCAAGGTCTGCTCAGCACCTCAAAGGGGCGCAATGCTTGGTACCTAGCAACCAAAGCCAACCAAGGGCTGAAGATTGCCAAGGTGGCAAAGGCCAAGTGAAACAGTGCTCCGCGCAGGGATGTCGCGTTTCAGGCAAGGTAGCAAAGTGGCAAGGGTACGCACAGCATGATGAGTCCCATGCGGGTGGGCTTCTTCAAACACTTCTATTGGTTTGTGCTTATTGGCGCATGATGAGTTCCATGCGGGCTGGCCCCGTTCCATGCGGGTTGGCCCCTTTCCAACACATTCCATTCCACGGAGGTAAGGACCACGAGGGGTTCCATTCCATGCGAGTTAGTTGGTTCCTTTCCAGCTTGGCAGACATTTTTTAACTTTACTTGAGACTTGCGTTCCATGCATCTTTCGCACTTTTGCGGCAATCTGGCGCCAAGTTTAGGGTGAGTTGTTGCATACTGCGTTCCATGGGGTTTGCTTGCTTTCCGGGGCTGAAAAACTATATGTTTTTCTGTGGCAGTGACTTGCGTTCCAGTGTGTTTTGCAACTTGGCGGATTCTTGGCAACGTATTTTCATTGAAATCATTGTGCGTTACATGCGGGCAAATTTTGGCAGTGACTTTTTGGCTTCGTGGATGGACTGCGTTCCATGGGGGGTAACCTCGCCACACACAAGTGGCGGTGACTTCGACGATTCTGTGTACCTTACAGAAGTGTTAAAAAAAAAAACAATCAAGAGCCAGGGTTGCCCGAATCACCTAGGGGCTTGATTGTCAACTTGGCAAGGATTAGGTCTCATCTTTGGAGCTCACCAAAGGGATCCCCTGTGCAGGGGCATTCCATTCTGAAGCCCGAGGGAAGAGTGACTTGTTGGATGGATTTCGCTTCAACATCAAGCGCCCACCAAGAAGAAAAAAGGGTGTCCCTCTTTTTTTTTGGGTGGGGGGAGAGGGGGGAGGTAGGTGTCCCTTCAAACCCAAGCAACAAAAGAGAGGACAGGGTGGCCGCTTTTGTCTCCCTGGCCACAAGGCATCTCTGGTTTTGTCCCCGCCAGGGAATCTGGTTTTTCTCCCGCCCCAGTGGCACCCGTGGACTCACCGGAAGTCAGCTCACCAGGCAGCCACCTGGCGTGCCGCGAGTGCTTTTCCGGCTACCTGGAGGCCTTGTGCATCGGACAAATGGGCTATGGAGGCATGCTACGGCGCGGTCCCAAATAATAGGGATTTTTTCGACCCCCCAGCACGGTGGCTTTCCTGGCGGCGTGGGGTTTTAGACCGACCTGGACAGGGTGCCACTAAAAAAGCAACAAACACGCAGAGGTAAGTGAGGTGGTCAGTTTGGTTGAAAGGATGTTTCTATCAGATCGCGTGGGAGTTTTGGTCGTACTGTTGGGTCAGGTTGAAAGTGCCCGCGTTCCAGCGATGGAAGTGGAGAGGAACCGGGGTTCCCAAAGGTGATGTATTCTTCCAGCACGCTTTGATCGTCAGCCTTCCATTGCCGGATTCCACTGGTTTCAGTTTGAGTCACTTACCTTGTTGTGGCCTTCCATGAAATCTTTTTGGTGGGTCTTCTTCTACACCTCTCTATATAAGCTTTTACGATTTGTTTGCGGGAAGCCAAGGCGGCTGGGGAAGATCGACTACGTTCCACTCACTTTTGTAGTAAGGAGCAACCTGGTATAGAACAGACCGCTTCATTTGGCGAGTTGCGAGACCAAGTGAAAAGAGTGGGAAAAGCATGGCCTCCGCTGGGAGAAGCCAAGGTGATTGGGTCAACGTCTGAGGGGTTAGGGCTCGGGATGGCAGCTTCTTGACGTCGTTTCACCGGGTCCCACCCCAAATTCTAAACATGTGCTCGTGTCTTGGGTCAGTTCTATGATACCAAGGGACCCCCCTTGGCAGTCAAGAAGTAGTCATGGTGATAGCTCGTGTTGGTGTCATAGAAAAGGTCTTCCACAACCATGAGTAAAGATTGTCTATTCATGTCAATCCAAAGCACAATCCATGGCTAAAAACATATCTCTGGTTTTTGAGGACATCCAAAATGGCATTGTGGTTTCCTTTTGGTTTCCTTTTAATGTCACCAAACAAACAGGCACCCTCCAAAAAAGACACCTAACCAGTTCTAATGGTTGCCGGTTTCTCTGCAGGTAAAGGTCCGCGAGAAGTGTGTCTCGGAGCAGGCGGGGAGGCTTGAGGAATCTGCTTGATAGTCTTGGGGTAAGCCATCATGTTTTAAGGGTAGACTCCAAGGGGAGCCCCTTGTATGGTTTTGAAGAGAAACAAAACGGGAGGAGTCCAGACCTGAAATGGGCTGTGGTAGGGTGGGAGCCATTCCCACTCACATGGCGATTTTCCACTCAACTTTGCTGCCAAAGGTCTGATCATACACTTTGAATATTTATATGACTCAGAGTACAAGTCTTTGTACAAGCACTTGCGCAATTATTTCCCAGTGGATCCCATTTACCACTAGGTAACCAGCATTGGTTTTTGAAGGCTGCTTTGTTTAGGTACCTGCTACACAGGTAAATGGAATCACTGGGTTCCAGGAAGATGTCAGACATCTTGAGAGCAATCCTTTGATTTAGACCCTTAGGCAACTTGCACGGATTCCCACGCCCCGGGTGCCTGAGAAGTGGCAACTGAAATATGCGCAGGGCCGTCGGCGGCCGAGAGGGTGTCCTGAACATGTTCCCGCGAAAGCTCGTAACTTGTTGCAGGGGGGCTATGTTCGGACCATTTTACTTGGTGGCTCCCTGCCAGCCGGTTCCTTAGCCTTTGAGCCTTGTAGTGTTCAGTGGCGGTTTCCATTTAACCAACAAGTTATTCACTAGAACCACCAGAGATGCTCCGGGCCCCATCCGCGGCTTTCTTCAGCACGTTTCGCTCTTCAAGCCACCCCCCAAAAATATCCTTCTCCAGCCATCTGCTCAGGAAGGCCTTTTTTGCTTTTAGCCCAAGCTGTAGGGGTCACTAGGATTTTTCATGCTCAGTAAGGAATGAGCTTCCGGGTGTTGGGAATGAACCGGTTTTGGGGATTCCCTGAAAGGAAACCATGTTTGTTTTTTTGTTAGGGGTCATTCCAACTCATTCCCTGCCTATCGCACCTGCAAGAAAAAGCAGATGACCCCGAGAAAAACCATGCCCTATCGCAACAACAAGTTATTCCCTGCCCATCGCAACAACCATAATTTGGGGGAAGCTGGCGGGTGGCCCATCTGCAGGAGATGGTGTGTCCTATGCCCAAGTGCGGGTGTCCCGTGAGCGAGTTCCAGGCGCGTGCGTGGAACAAAAAAATGTTGTGGCTTCAGCTCCCTTTTCCGAACTCCCGGAAAACCCAGTTCGAACTGAGTCAACTGTTTGGGGGTTGGACAATTCTAGACTTTACGGCAATTCTAGACATCTAGGTCTTCAACTTGATTGGTTCTAGACTTTACACAAACAGCTTGGAGACTTTTTTGGGGGCCCATCCGCTGAAGTGAGTTTCTTTTTGGCATTTCTCAAGTGTGTTTGTTACAATGGCAATTATGCTTTCTCTACTCACCTTGTGCTTCCTCCTTTACAAAATGCGCTGAGGTTTGCTCGGGAGAAAGCTTGCCTAGGTCTATGGTCAGTTTGAGGAATCCCTTGTCACTTGAGGGTTTGCCCCCCACCCCCCCACCCTACTTGAGGTGGTTTGCCCCCCCCCCCCCCACCACCCTCCGTACGGAGAATCCAGCCAAGGTTTAAAATTAGTAAGAAGTGTGCGCTTCTGGTGGGTCCAACCTGTAATAGAGATTTTGGAACCTCTGAGTGCGTCTCTGCGTGTGTGTGTGTGTGTGTGCGCGTTTTGAGGGTACCAAGCATTTACTGCTTGGTTTCGAGGGACAACAATGAACAACCGAATCCGGTACAGGCACCTCATTGAGCGGCTCTGAGCCAGCTTTTTAGTTGGTAGTTTCTATTTGACCCACTAATAGTTAGATCCACTTTTAGCAGATCTGAAACGGGACAGCCCAAATTTGCAAATCCTTCAAGTCGTGAACCGACTACACGAGGTCATGGGTGTCCTGGATGGCACACCTCTCTGGCAGCGCTTCCTCTCAACCCGCGCGGAACTTTACAGGCGCGAAGTGTGTGTGTGTGTGTGTGGTTTTCACTCCCTTCCTTGTGGTTGTGCTTAAACCAAGCCCGAAAAGAGTAGCTTCAAAAACAGACCCAGGCGAACCAGAGACACTCCTCAGTCACTTCCTGAATTCCTGGACTTTTAAAAGTTTTTGGGAAGAGCATTTTAGTGACAAATGAAAGGATTAGAGCTTTTTGGGCGAATCTACTCAGGAAGTGAGCTCATGTTTTTGCCTACGCCCTGGAAACCGGCGTGGTGGTTTCATGGTTTTCGGTTTGCCCGCCAAGTGCGCGGATTTTCATCTCTAGATGGCTCTTGATGAAACCTGGTCAACTCCATAGACCTGGTGAACTTGCAGCCGGGATGTTTAAGCGAACTTACTTTTTTTCCGATTCACAAAACGTGGGTTTTTGCACACGCCGACCCGCCCACGCTCTCCGTCGCACGCCTGCATCTGTGCTACATGCTGGCACATGGAAAGCAGGAAGCACACCCGCCCACGCCCTCCGTCGTACCCTGAGCACATGCCTGGCACATGGTAATCACACCTGCCCACGCTCTCCGTCGTACGACTGAGTACATGCCAGGCACATGGTAAGCACAACCGCCCACGCTCTCCGTCTGGCTGTTTGTGTGTGTTTAGTGGCACCCGCGCAGTAACACCGTAGCTTGAGCACGTCAGGTCAAGCACTAGCAGCAGCGGTCATGGAACCCGGAGATGACCACAGCCCCCAAAGCACTTAAAAAGAACACGCGTACAGGCTTGCGCGTATCGTTGAGGCAAGATGCACATGCTTGATCTAAAGCCAGGAAATTTTCGTGACGGAAGTTATGTTTTTTTCTTATTTTATCTTGTTTCGCCACAGCGAAACACTCGCTTTGGTGAATTACACTGGAGCAACGGCACATTTTGACGGGGGCCCGTGGTGGTAAGTCCAAAAACCCAAGCGCCGCGCGCGCTTGGCTGCACCATGAGCGCGGTTATCGGTCCGGCAGGAGATTTTTGTTTTAGCCAAGGTCCCAACTGTTTTTTCCAGTCCAAAGTCCCGTTGGTGCGATAACCAGCAGGCAGTTGGCGACCCGGGTGCTGGTGAGTGATTCATTTTGTTTTTGGAAGCAACGCGAAATGGTACGTCCTTTTCATCGAAACGGGTCGAAAACGGTCGAAATGGCAAGCCGTTTGAGGCAAGCCGTTTGATAAGAAATGTGGGGATCTCAAGCTGAAACCCTGGATGGGGTTGTCGGCTTTCCCACAGCTCGAAGTTCGGGCCAAGTGACCAGGTTATAGCCCATTTAATTTGAGGGGCATGAGCTCTAAGTTTCCCAGCCAAACCAGGGGACTCACCAATTGTCCCATGCGGAGGTGACTTGGGAGCTTGCTCAATGCTTGGTGAAGTGGTGAAGTAATTTAAGTCTCAGACACAGTGCCTGTTGGTTCCTTTTTCTGTTGGAGGCATTTCCCTTTAGCATCAACCACAAGCAGGGTGCCCGGTTTCCCCATGGCCACTGGGCTTCTGAGCAGTACTATCCCCTCAATGTGCAGCGCAAATCCTGCGCTTCGGGGTGACAGATGGGCCCTTTGGACGTCTAGAGGATCCTTGGCAGTCCAGTTTCAACTGCGAAGAGCCTCCACGACAGGCCACAGCTGAGTTTAGTGGGACACCACGTCCTCCGCGCATTAGGTCGGAATCACTTTGGCGTAGAGGAGTATATGAAACAAAAATATATGAAGGGGGGGGTCTGACCAAATACATACATATATATATATATGTATAATTCTTCCAAACACGTTGGGAACCTAGGATTTGGCGACCACAGATTGCCAGCAACAAGAAAGAACGATAGAACACGGAGAACTGCGAGTTTCCTCCTCGCAGCTGGTTTGGACCATTCTCCCGGCAAATGTGATGCGGGGGAAATGCTCACCAAATCAAGCCCGCCTGAATGTTGGTGTTGCATGTCCTGTTCAAATACAGGTTTCTACAACCTTCCCAGGCATTGTGGCATGGCCATGGTTGTTTGGTTGGTTGCTCGGTTGCTTGGTTTTGTCCAGTTCCCTTCGTCCAGGCCAGAGGGCGCCGATGAGCGGAAGTGCCTGTGCCCTTGCGGAGAGGCGAATCGGTAACTGGCGAATGCCCGCAACTTCAAGATTTCCATGAGAGGAGGGGTTGATTCCCCTTGAAACTCAACCAGCCGAAAAAAATGCATGCCTTGGTTTTTCCCATGGCCACTGGGCATTTGAGGGACAAACCGGCAATATTGACCATAGCCCTAGAAGAGGTGTTTAGAAGATTCCAGGAGAATCAGGCCATTTCCATGCTTGCTTCTTTGCTTTTTTTTTGCAGGTGTGTGTGTGTGTGCCCATGTGTTTTGTTGTTCTGTTTGCTTTTGTGGGATGTATTGTTCTAGGGATACCTTCTCCATGCAATGCAGGCATCCTTCTTTCTACAAAACCACCCAAAACCCTGCAGAATCAGCGATCGGTTTTTGAAAAGAACGATGGTTGAAAATAATGGTTGGAATCCACAGCTAGAGGTTTAGCAAACAAAGAAAAGGGGAAAGCAGGAATCTTCCTCTATGCTGCCTATAAACATCACTCCGACGGAAATCCATTGGCAACCAAATTTGGTGATGTAACTCAAGCCACCTTGAGAAATCCCGTGGGGATCCGCTGTATATCTGGGGACTCCCCTTGAACCGCTTGGGGATACCTTATTTCAGCCAGAATTGTGCTTGTCCGTTTCGGTGTTTGACTTTGCGCGTGGCGAATCCTTTGATTCGAGCCCCAAAGTCCACCTCACAACCCGAGCAGTCCGAGACACAGCAGCGTGGGAACGAGTCACACACAAAATCAACTCCCTGGACCCACACAATTCATTTGTTACTACCCCCCCAAAATTCATGGGTATTCCCTTAAACATGCGTTATTACTCCCAAAACGGATGGAATTCCCTTAAACATGGGTTATTCACCCCCCCTCCCAAAAAAAAAGGCTGATTGGTTTCAAACCCCTTGTTTGTGGGTAGTTTTCGGGTTCAACTCTACCTGCACCCTGAATCCAGATCACTTGACCCACCAACATTTGTGCCCAATGCCCGTTCTAACCCGTCCCACCATAGAAAGGTTTGGGGTGTCACACCCAACCTCCGAGTACAGGTTTTTAGATGTTTTTACTTGGTTTAGTGGCTGGGTTTCCCCATTTACAGAGGTTAAACTTGTGGCTGGACAGCCCAGTCAATGCAAGGGTTCCTGACGGGCCAAATCCACCTGAGCGACGTTCTAAAACCCCTGCACTTGAAAGTAGTATTCGGGAGGAAATATCGTTTTCAATATGTTGACTTTTCCCAGGTCGCGGAAGCGCCGCGCAAGGTTCGCGGAAGGGGTTTCTCAATTATGTACTCGCGGAAGCTTCGCGGAAGGGCTACGATTCAATCGCGAAAGCAATAAATTTTAATTTTCCTTCACGCGCGGAAGCGAAAACAAACTTCAATCCCGTTTCTCAATCCGCGGAAGCGACGCGGAAGCGATTCCCTCTTCAATCCTGTTGCGGAAGGAACCTTTCACCCGCGCAAGCTCCGCGGAAGCCTTCGCGGAAGGGATTTGATATTTCTCTTCGGCCGCAACTGGGTTTAGAACACTGCTCACCTGAGGCGCCAGTTGGGATGGATTTGAAACTCCATTTGAACACAGGGAGAAACCACCAACTGGTGCCTGGTGTTGATTTTGTCCATCGGCAGGGCAACCATGTTTTGCTCCCTGGCCTTTTAAGCAACAGTCCTGTCACATAGGCTCACTTGCCCAAAGCCAATCGACCTCTTAACTTGTGTGTTTTCCTGAGATCGTTCATTTCCAGGTCCAAACTGGGCAAGTGAGAGACACGCGCCAAAACAAAAACACACGCTTTTCCCACGCGCGCGCTTCGTGGATGGCTGGAGCCCGTCAGGTCATCATTGTGCTGACAGTGTGCAGCTCAGACTCGCGACCTCTCACAGGTTTGCAGACTGATGTGCCCACTCCCTGAGTTCGTGGACTTTGTTTGGACCATTTTGGCGGCAAAGAAAAAGTTTGGACTTTTTCGGACCCATCCACAGGAAGCGAGTGTCTCTTTTCCGGCAGTCATGTACCTTTTGGGGCTCAAGTCCGTCTCGTGGAATGTAAGGGAGCAACAGTGGGACTCCTGCGGCAGTTGGCCATGATGTGAACTCAGAAATACCAGGAGTGACCCTCCAAAAGAGGCTCACTGAGGTCACCTTGGATCCTTTGACCGGTTTAACCTTGGGTGTTTTCACCACGTGAGCATCATCCAACCTGAAAAGATCACCTTTGATATGGAAATGTACAGATAGTGAGCCTCTCCGGAGGAAATGCACAGATCCCACAGATCCCTGATCCATGTCAGAAGACTCAGACTGGTTTTGACACAAACATAGATATGGGATGTGTACCCGCAAACACGGGCTATCCAAACCCTTGTGTGTGCGCGTGTTGTTTGAGGGTACCTTTTTTGGTTGGTTTCAAATGCGAAATTAAAATGAGCACCGCCGTTTGTTCGGTGGGCTTGTCTTTTCTCAGGAGACACCCAAAATGGCTTCGGGTTACCTTTGGTTTCAATTGAAATCCACCAAAAAGGGGTACCAGGTAGCCCACGAAAAAGACGAGCAACCTAGCCCCTTTGACACCTTTCCCTTGTCCCCCGCGCTTAGGCGGCAGACCAGGGCTTCGTGAAATGCCCCTCCTGCAAGGAGAAGGACGCGGTTTTCCGGTTAAAACGCGCGCGCAACCCCCAGAAAATGAATCGTCTCCTTTTGGTATCCTTTTAAAACACCCTCTCCCCCAAAAGGGTTCACTAGAAAGACACTACGGTGAATCTAAAAATCTTCGGTAACGTATCAGGGTTAAACCCAACCCAGAAAATGTTTCAGTGCCATTTGCTACTATCCCTGAATGGTTCTTGGGTAAGCGGTCAACATAACTTTCTTAGATGGCACTTGGGCCCGGGCTTGGCAACGGAGCAAGCAAGCCGACCATTGACCCATTGAATCCCAAACACAGGCAAAGCCCAAAGGTCGAAAGACGCAAAGTGGGTTGTGTGGGTGTGGGTGTGCGAACCGCGCACGTGATATCGCGTGTTGGTACTGGTATGTGTTATTGCGTACCGTGCGTCTGATGGCTCGGTGTGTCTGTGCATGTGTGTGTGTGTGGTGTGTGTGTGTGTGTGTGTGTGTGGTGTGTGTGTGTGTTTGTGTGGTGTGTGTGTGGTGTGTGTGTGGTGTGGTGTGGTGTGGTGTGGTGTGGTGTGGTGTGGTGTGGTGTGGTGTGGTGTGGTGTGGTGTGGTGTGGTGGGTGTGGTGTGGTGTGGTGTGGTGTGGTGTGGTGTGGTGTGGTGTGGTGTGGTGTGGTGTGGTGTGGTGTGTGTGGTGTGGTGTGGTGTGGTGTGGTGTGGTGTGGTGTGGTGTGGTGTGGTGTGGTGTGGTGTGGTGTGGTGTGTGTGTGTGTGGTGTGGTGTGTGTGGTGTGTGTGTGTGGTGTGGTGTGTGTGTGTGGTGTGTGTGGTGTGGTGTGTGTGTGTGTGTGTGTGTGTGTGTGTGTGTGTGTGTGTGTGTGTGTGTGTGTGTGTGTGTGTGTGTGTGTGTGTGTGTGTGTGTGTGTGTGTGTGTGTTGTGTGTGTGTGTGTGTGTGTGTGTGAAGCGTCCTGGAGCACGGACGGAAATTCCACATTGCAGGGGGACTGGAGCCGATTTGCCTATCCAGTCCAATGAAGCTACGGCATTTCGGTGGATACCGGATCTGATCAATCCGGCGTACCTGCCTATTTCATGACCCTCTTTCCTGATTCCTTTGCGGTTTCTGTTTGTCGCTGTTGCTTCCTGTTCGGTGTCGATGTTGTGACCTGTTGATTTGCATTTGCATTCAAGCATTTTTACCGACTGCGTTTTTCATCTCGGCTAGTGAAGCCTCTCGAGATAAGTGTGTTTACCCACGGCCTGTCCGACATGGCGCTGTGGGCTGGACTCGCCACATGCGGGAGCCCCCTGCGAGGGGAAGACCGTTCATACGTTCAAATTCAACCTGCCGTTCAGCGCGCTTGACCACGATCAAGGCTGCAACTTGAGGTCTTAAGGTATTCCGCACCCAAATGGTGCTCTGCTGGTTTCATGTGCGTTGCACTGCCTGCCTTTGAAGCAAGGCTGCGCCCACGAGGTTTTAGGTTCCTAAGCTTCATGCGCCAGTGACGAGTTGGTCATACACCAACTCTGCAATTCGGGGTGTTTATGGAAGCTTTCGTCTCGGATGAGTTCAATTCAGATTCATCGGCATAGCCACATGAGGCACTTTCATGAGGCCACTTGACAGGCACCTCTGAGAACCCCTTTGTGCTCGCATGCATTTGCACCATTGACGCATTTTTGCCGCAGTTGTGATTTTGTTTCACCCCTTTCCAACCTTCTCTCTCCCTTGCGAGATGGCTGGACACCAGCTCTATGACATGATGCATTCGCTCCTACACAACATTGCGACCGGCACCGCGTCCGGCTCACCAGGCAATTGTGGACCGAACTTGCAGCTGTCATCCCAGATGACGCAGCCCATGAACCTTGTACCGTCACCCAACTCGCAGACGGCATCCTTCACACCTTTCCCCATGATGCCCTACGGCGGCCTCTCGAACTTTGGCAACCCGATGGCCATGATGCCCTACGGTGGCCCTCCCAATTACGGCAACTTGGCACCTGGCACCATCATGCCTTTCATGACTCAGAGCAGCATGCCATCTTCACTGCCCGAGCCTCAGCCGGCGCGCGCGCCCGAAGCTGCCGCTGCGGCTCCTGCCGCTACCTCCTCAACCAACCACCCTCCCCCGGACACTCGGCACCATCCCCACTCTCGCAGATCCCGTTCCCGCCACAGACAGCACCGACACTCCCACTCCCACACCAGCCACCATCGCAGGCACAACAAGTCGCACCGACGACACGACACCCGACGATCCCGCAGCTACAGCAGGTCACGTTCCCTTTCCCGACACCTCCACCACTCCCGACGTGCACACCACTCCACTGTCTCCCTCCGCTCCCGCTCCCCCCGACACAGGTCCCACCATCGACACTCCCCTGCACCCAGAGCCACGACTTCGCACCGACCCACTCACACTACTCATGATTCCACCTCCTGGCGCACTTCCGGGAAGGATTCCAACAAGTCTCAATGGTCCTCCTCACACTGGCGGAACCAATCGTGGGGACACCCACCACAGAACAAAAACCGCTGGGACATGCACCACCATGGCGCCAGCCACACCGGCCACCGAAACAACCAGGAAAAACGATCGTCCTGGTCACTGCAGCACCATGGGCAGCAACCCCACCCCACTTCCCGCACCGGCCACCACAACACTAGCTTGCCCCCTCACCCAGCACCTGCGGCGGCCTTCACTTCCACTCCCCCTCCCCCTCCCCGACCCACGCCGGCTACTCCTCACCCTCCCCAACCCCCCTTCGACAACACCGGTGATTTGGATCCCCCTCCATCGGAGGCGGACATCAATGCCACCACCACTTCCGACAACCGGTGGCTTGATCTATGGAGAAACGTCATGGACACGGCCAAGACTGACCCGCTGCGAGTTCCCACGCCTAGGGAGTTGGGGGAGCTGGACCCGCTTCCAGCCTTGGACATCTCCAGGATAGAACAGACTAAGGCCATTTTGATGAACCTGGACCCTGCTTTGCCACCTTCACATGCCGATCTCCTCGCGGAATGCTGGGAACTGCGAACCATGGACACGGATGATCCCATACCGTTCGATCCCAGCTTCTACCACCTCTTGGGACGGGAATCACACGGCATGGTGTTCGCAACCACTTGGTTTCCCCGACCTCATCCTTGGCCAGTTGCTGGCGGAGACCCGGAAGCTGGATCCGGCACGGCCTCCCATCACGCTGTCATGTATGTGCACGGCACCACCCCGGATCGAGTGCGCCGCATGTGCCATGAGAACATGATCCGACCCGCTGCTTGGAGGCCCGAGAACCATGACTACCCGAGCTTTGGATGCTACGCTCAGGCCACCCCCACGGCATGCACGCCCGACACGCTCGGCCAGCTCTTGCAGAACTTTACAATCGGAAAGTCTCAACTCGGCGCCATCGCTTTTGGGGAACTACGCTCCATCAATCAGCACAAAATCCTCGAATCCGGGGGAAGCCACGAGGATCAACACAACGTGCGGCGCCACTTCGCATGCCGCCGAGGCAAAAAGTGGTGCCTTCACTCCAAGTTTGCGATGCTGAGAGGCATCGCGCTGCAGCGCCCGGCTTAGCGGGGCGCAAATGTACCATCTTCCACCCGACCAGGAAAAGAATTGGTGCACTGTTTGATCGCCTTTTTTTCTTTGCTTTGCTGTTCTGCCTTTCTGCGACCGTTCTCTCGCCTTGTGACCTTACCCGCTTGATTCCGCTCACCAGCTTTTGGTTCGAACATTTCCTTTTCCCCCGTGTTTTCTCATGGCTTTCCAACCCCCTCGAGGTTTGGTTCCGATGCTCCAAAGGCAAAACTTACCACCGCAGCCTTCGCCCACGGCATCCCATCATCATGGCATCATGTACGGCAACAACATGGCCGGAAACCCGTGCGGGGCCCTGTCCGGACCTTCCTACGGATGCTCTTCCACGACATGGACACCGCCAACTACACATCCGACTCCCTGTCAGACCTACGGCCAACCTATTCCCCATTACCCACCACACCCCGGCCCTCGTCCACCCTCCTTTGGCGGCTCTCTCCCCCCCCCTCCCGGCGGCAACCCCTTTCCCCCCCCTCCCCCCGGCCCCTTCACCCGCCCTCCACCTTTCCCCTCCCCCTCCACCGCCTCGCAATCCAAACCTCCCCCGGCCCTTCGACCCGTCCACTCAGTCCCAACACCAACCGAGTTCAACCCTGGCGACGATCACTACGACACCACCCGCGTCGCGGGGTACGACCTGCCCAAGGTCATAACGCACACCGCGTTTACTCGGCAAATGGGCATCGAGGGACAAGACATCGCTCGCGTCCCCCTCCTCCACCTCATGCACGAACAGTGGAACAGTTGGTGGTTGCGTCACCTCGCCCACGGAGGCGAAGTCCGCATCGTTGTCGCAAAGTCGATGCCGGAATCAGTGTTTGCTGCTGGACTACTCAGCCAAATCCGACAACGGCACCTCGACCTGGACGCCCTCGCCCTCCATGTAGCCACGCAGGAGGGCGCCTCGACCACCAAACCAGCAGCCATGAAGCTACTCACCAGCAAGATCTTCGACTTCCTCATCTCCCTCCGACCCACCACTACGGCCGATCCGGCCTCCGCGGCCACCATACTCCAGCTTCAGCAACAGCTTGCTGACGCACACAACCAACTCGCCCAGCAGGCTTCATCCCCCCCCCTCCCCCCCACACCCACCTCATCCAACAAACGCCCAGCCGATCCATCTCAGGCCTCCCTCCTGGACTTCGGCATGAAGCGACCACGGTTGACTACACCTGACACATCACCGCAGGACGGATCCCCCGCCCTACCCCTGCCCACTCGCATTGCAGACGACTCCCAACCCCCCCCGGCTCCCCCCACCCACGGCGGCAACCCTCCAGCCCCCTCCACCCACGGCGGCACCCCGACCCCTCCCCCCCTCCCCTCCCCACCCACTTGGAAGGAGCCCCGCGACTTGCTCCAACCACCTCCCCACGTTTGCCAATGGCTCACCAGCAACTTCCCA